TTGAACAAGAGACTGGCAAGAAGTTAAAGTGTGTTCGAGCAGATAATGGTGGTGAGTATAGGGGTCCGTTTGAGAAGTATTGCCGAGACCATGGCATTAAACTTCAGAAGAGTGTTCCGAAGACTCCGCAGCAGAATGGCGTGGCAGAAAGAATGAACAGAACTATTACCGAAAAGGTTAGGCGTATGCTCTCGAATGCAAAGCTGCCTAAATCTTTTTGGGGTGAAGCCATGCAGACAGCAGTTGATTTGATCAACCTATCTCCCTCAGTTCCGTTGGATGGTGATCTGCCACAACGAGTTTGGACAGGGAAAGATTTCTCATTTAGGCATTTGCGAGTTTTTGATTGTCGTGCCTTTGTTCATATTCCCCAAAGATGAAAGGTCGAAGCTTGATGGCAAATCCAAGCAGTGTGTATTCTTGGGGTATGAAAATGATGATTTTGGGTACAGACTTTGGGATCCCTGTAGAGAAGAAAGTTTTCAGAAGCAGAGATGTGATCTTCTTTGAAGACCAGACCATTGATGATATGGGAAAAGGCGAGATGCCAGAATCTTCACCTGAAATTCCTGTTGATTTAGATCCAGTTCCTCCACAATCAGATGATTCTCCTGAAGGGGGAGCTGAGACAGAGCAGGATGGTGAGTTTGATGATGATCCTGCTAATGAAACAGAGACACCACCGGTTTCATCACCTCCTGTTCAGCCTAGGAGGTCCACCAGAGACAAGAGACCTTCCACCAGGTACAGTGCTCATTAGTATTTGTTGCTTACTGATGGGGGAGAGCCAGAGTCGTATGAAGAGGTTCTTAGTCATGAGCAGAAAGATCAGTGGTTAGCAGCCATGCAAGATGAGATCAAATCCTTGCATGAGAATAACACGTATGACCTGGTGAAGCTGCCTAAGGACAAGAGAGCACTCAAGAATAAGTGGGTGTTTAGACTAAAAACAAGTGAGAACAGCTCACAACCGAGGTACAAAGCCAGATTGGTTGTGAAGGGATTCAATCAGAGAAAGGGCGTAGACTTTGATGAGATATTCTCTTGTAAAGATGTCTTCGATCCGAGTTGTGTTTGGGATAGCAGCCAGCTTGAATCTTGAGATTGAACAGCTTGATGTGAAGACAGAGTTCTTACATGGTGATTTGGAAGAAGAGTTTACATGGAGCAACCAGATGGGTTTCAGGAGAAGGGGAAAGAGAAGCTTGTATGTCGTCTCAACAAAAGCTTGTATGGGTTGAAGCAAGCTCCGAGGCAATGGTACAAGAAGTTTGATGCCTTTATGATAGGGCAAGAATACCAAAGGACTACAGCTGATCACTGTGTCTTTGTGAAGAAATTCTCTGATGGTGATTTTATAATTCTTTTGCTTTATGTCGATGACATGTTGATTATTGGTCATGATACTGCAAAGATTACTAGGTTGAAAAAGGAGTTGAATAAATCCTTTGCGATGAAGGATTTGGGTCCGGCTAGACAGATCTTTGGGATGAAGATTTCTCGTGACAGACAGAGTGGGAAGCTTTGGGTATCTCAAGAGAAGTATATCAAGAAGGTTCTTGATAGATTTAACATGAGCAGTGCTAAGGAAGTCTCGACTCCACTTGCAGGGCATTTTAAGCTAAGCAAAACGCAGTGTCCTAAAAGTGAGAAAGATAAGGAAGAGATGAAAAAGGTTCCTTATGCTTTGGCAGTTGGCAGCCTAATGTATGCGATGGTTTGTACAAGGCCAGACATAGCTCATGCAGTTGGGGTTGTTAGTCGGTTTCTCTCCAATCCTGGTAAGGAGCATTGGAAGGCTGTGAAATGGATTCTCAGGTATCTTAGGGGTACTTCCAGATTGAGTCTTTGCTTTGGCAATGGGAAGATCATGTTAGATGGATATACATATGCTGATATGGCGGGTGACCTGGATGGTCGGAAGTCTACTTCTGGTTACTTGATGACTTATGGAGGGGGAGCAGTTTCATGGCAGAGTAGATTGCAGAAATGTGTTGCTTTGTCTACTACAGAGGCAGAGTTTATTGCAGCTACTAAATCTTGTAAGGAAGCACTTTGGTTGCAGAAGTTTCTACAAGAGCTTGGCATGAAGCAAGAGAAGTATGTGGTGTATTGTGATAGCCAGAGCGCTATTCACTAGCGAAAAATTCCACATTTTATTCGAGGTCAAAACATATTGATGTGAGATATCATTGGATTCGAGATATGTTGGAGTCCAAGGTATTGTTTCTTGAGAAGATCTATACGGATGACAACGGTGCCGATATGTTGACGAAGACTGTGATTAGAGACAAGCTCCTGTTTTGCAGACAGGAAGCGGGTTTGGTTTTACCCCAATTGAGGTAAAGGGGGAGATTGTTGTGCCCGAGTTCCCCTCAAATTGGGCCCAGCAGTGATTGAAACCAAACCAATTTGGTTTTACGAACAAAACCCACTCCAATTGGATTTTTGTTTTTTAGGTTTTTTTGCTCTATAAAAGCAAGGCTTTGGCATAATTTTTAGATGTGTATTTTCAGCCAAGAGAGAAGAAAAGTTTGGGCAGCCGTGCATTATTTTTGTACTAGAGAAAAAGAAAGAAAGCTAGGGTTTAGTTTTCGTTTTAGCTCTTTTTTGGTTAGATCCTTCCAGTCTTACTTTGTGATAGGTGTGTGTGGAAGAGTATTGTTGTAATCCACCTTTGGGTGAAGTCCTGTGTATCCACTAGTCGGTGAAGAATGTTTTCCCATTATTGTGATAGTGGAGATTTGACTGTTGTTACAGTCCCGTGGTTTTTCCCGATTTGGGTTTTCACGTAAATTCGTGTGCCTCCTTTATTTTATCAGTTCTTGAATCAGTTGCTTGTTTGGGTGGTTGTCCTATTTTATTGGTAGTAGGAAAGGAGATTTTCTTGGGATTCGCTTCAGTGGTGTGTTGTATTTATACCCTTTCCGCCACAACATATACAGTATGTCCGTATGCTTGTGTGGGTTTAGTGCAAAATTTTTGATTTATTTATTGCTCACCCAATCCTCGTTGTTTGATTTGTAATTCAGAAGATTTGGCAGTTAGAATTTTAACTTTTAAGGATTAACTAATTCTTATATGACGAGATTGGGAATCAATAAAAGTTATTGGACAATCAAATTAAAAAGAAAGGAAAAATAGGTAAGAAAAATATTCTGCCCACGAAATTTCGGTAAATTATCCAGTATACCCGGAGGCACCGTGCCCCCCCTCATATTTTTTGTATTTTTAGCCCTTATTGTACTTTTTATCAATCTTTCTATATTTTACAAGTATAGACCCTGTAATTTTTTCTCTCTCTTCCAAAAAAAACATCTCTAATCTTTCAACGACCATATCTCCCAATCCGTAAAGAATTTGTGAACGAATTATATCTGAAATTTGTAGTACTCGTCGAGATCTATCCAACAAAATCCATAGTGAATATTTTTTCGAGCTTAAAAATGACTTAATTCTGATGGACAGAATACGGGTGGATATCCAGTTTTACAATATGGATAACCAACTTGTTCTAAATTTATTATCCATTGTGATCATGCTGATTATCCAATAAGTTTGAACTGGTTATCCATTTTGTTTCTACTGCTTATCCATTTGGTTATCCAAGTTCTTAATTCAAAATAAGTTGGTTATCCATCTTCTTAAACTGGATATCCAATGTGTTCATATTGATTATCCAATGCGCTAATACTGGTTATCCAATGGATTTACATGCTTATCCAAATTATTTGTACTGGTTATCCACTGTGTTCATGCTGATTATCCAACTTGTTTGTACTGGATATCCATCCATTTGGTTTGTATGCATATCCAACTCTAATATTTCAACGAGCATATCTCCCAATCCGTGAACAATTTGTGAACGAATTATATATGAAATTTATAGTACTCGTCGAGATCTATCCAACGAAATCCACAATGAACATTTCTTCGGGCTTAAAATGACTTAATTCTGATAGATAGATTATCCAACTAATTAGTATTATTTATCCAACCTGGTTTTTGTTTTTATTATTTTTTTAAAAAATAATAAACTAAGTTGGTTATCCAACTCGTTTGTATTGGTTATCCAATCATTGGTTTGTATTGGATTATCCAATGCGCTAATGCTGGTTATCCAATGGATTTACATGGTTATGCAAATTGTTTGAACTAGTTATCCACTTTGTTCATACTGGTTATCCAACTCGTGCATACTGGTTATCCAACTTACTGGATATCCAACTTATTCTGCCCATCAAAATTTAGTCATTTTTAAACTCAAGAAAAATATTCGAAATAGATCTTGTTGAATAGATCTCGACGAGTACTATAATTTTCATGCATAACACGTTCTCTAATTCTTTACGGATTATGAGATATACTCGTTGAAAGATTAGAGATGTTTTTTTTTGGAAGAGAGAGAAAAAATGACAGGGACTATACTTGTAAAATATAGAAAGATCGATGAAAAGTCCAATAAGGGTTAAAAATTCAAAAAATAGGAGGGGGAACACGGTGCCCCCGGGTATACTGGATACAGCCTCGAAATTTCATCTAAACGCCTAACCTCTGCGCAGCAAGCAGTTCCGGAATACCTTTCTTAATCGACTATTCCAAAACTGATCTTTCTTTCATTTTGGGTTAAATGGAAAATGAGTTAATACTAATATTGGACACATATCAAAAACTCAAACTAATTGTCATAGTCTCATAGATGAGTCTCTTCCATACGCAGCAAACTTTAACAGAGAGTTGACCAAAAAGTTGGGCGCACCTCATAGGAGGTGCCAAATTCGAGCAAATTTGCCAAACAGTAAATATATTTGCTGCTGGGGGCTGAAAGCCAATTTTAGTGATTTTAAATGCAATTTATGGAGCTGGACCACTTCAAATTAAATCCAAATGTAGTTTAACTCTTGTTCATGGAGAATGGATTCTACATATACATAAAGGCCTTGAATTCAATGGAGAAAGCAAAAACATAATAGAGTGTAAAAGAAAAGAAAGTAGAGATCATGGAGATGAAGGTAAATATAATATCAAGGGAGTTGATTAAACCTTCATCTTCAACACCTCTCGAGAAGAAAAAGCATAAGCTCTCTGTTCTTGATCAGATTCTACCCCATGCTTTTATTCGTTTGCTTTTTTTCTATGAAACACAGAAGCCATCCGACTCCGAAAAGGCTACTATTATTATTGATGACCCATCCAAAAAAACTCTGCAATTAAAGCAGTCTTTATCAGAGTGTTTAACAAAGTTCTACCCTTTAGCAGGAAAGCTGAGTTCAGACAATCTTTCTGTTGATTGTGATGACTCTGGAGTTCTGTTCGTGGAAGCTAAGGTTAATACACCGCTCTCACTAGTAATGATTGAGCAAACCATAACAAACACCCTGCCATTTGAGCCAATTGATTCTGGCAATTATGATTGCCCAAAACCAAAAGACCAATTATTGTTAGGAGCTCAAATCACTTAGTTCGAATGTGGAAGCAAAATCGTCGCGGTATCCTTTTCTCACAAGATCTGTGATCTATTGTCGATGATAACCTTGATGAATTCCTGGGCTAACTTAAACCGCGGCGAAAATACTGTTGTAAAACCCAATTTTCATGTTGGGACGAACCTTTTCCCTCCATTGGATGATCATGATTTTAGTTTCCGTATAGTTGGAGCGAAAGGAAAGGTTTTGCGGAAGCGATTTGTGTTCAACAAGGAAAAGATAACAGAACTGAAACAATTGGCCATTTCCTCCTCCAAAGATGCCTCTCGGGTGGAAGTCATAAACGCTTTCATATGGAAGAATCTGATCAGTGTGGAACGAGCTAAACAACAACATCATCCGGGTGTTACAACAACGGTAACATCGAAAATCCAACATGCCGTGAATTTGAGAAATAGAGTAATCAGAAACAGAGCTAATGAGTTCCCTTTTGGGAACATGGCAGTTCCTGCGGTTTCCAAATTCACTCTTCCTGATGATGATGAGGATCAGGATAATAGAGACTTTTATGGGGATCTTGTCCGGCACACGAGCGATGCGATAAGGGGAGTAAACGGCGTCGATTATGTGTTCACTCGGGTGATTCCTATTTTGCAGAATGTGATGAAGCGGAAACCGCCAACCATTTCGGTGGCAGAAACTAGAAGGTTTTCCAGTTGGTGCAGATTTCCGATTTATGAAGTGGATTTTGGTTGGGGGAAGCCTTTTTTAGTTGGTCCTGCTAGTGATACCAGTGTATCAGGGGTGATTCTCAAGGACACCAGGGATGGAGAAGGAATCGAAGCTTGGATTAACATCTTAGAAGACGAATTCATCTTGCTTCCTGATGAATTTCTTTCTTTGGCATCGACTTGCTTATTTTAGAGAGTTTTTTTAAGGTTTTGTGTCAGTTTTTTTTTTTGTAACACCGGAACCCTACCAGAGATTGGTAAACCCACGCCCACTGCAATAGCCTACAAACCAACCCCTTACTATTTGTTGGAGTAGGGATTGAACTCATGACCTCCTCCTGGAGCAAGGGTTGTTTTACCACTGAAGCAACCTTCATTCGCATTTTGTGTCAGTTTTGCGTATTTCATTTGTATGTTTTATACAACACTGAATTTCGGTCATGATTAATCATTCTTGTATGAGGTGAACTATTAAATACTTAAAGAAAAATTATAAGAATCGGTTATTAAATTTGAAAGTTGAAGATCCCCAAAAAAAAAAATCATACTGTTAACTTCAGAACTCCTAAAGTCCCTAGTTCTTCATATTTATGGAGAATGTGGAACTGAGAAGGGCCAGGGTGGAATAGGCTACCAGGACATTTTAACTTGAAAAGTGATCCACTTCCTCTGCAGAAATAGGGATCGACATATAATTAATGTTAAATTAAAACTACAAGAGACTTAGAAAAATTAAATAAGGGAAACCCCATAAAAGAAAAAAGGAGCAAAAAGGTACGAAGAAATATGAAGTTAAAACTACGAGAGTTCTTGATCGATATTTTCGGTACAATTAGGTCACGTAGGCGCAGACTACTTGAGGGCACAACACCATTACAACCAAAAGGAGTGAATTCGATTCTTAGTCTCTTTTTGGTATAGAGGGTGTGAAATGGAGACGGGCCATGCTGAAATAGGTAGAATACAAACTTGAAGCTAGTCCATTTTCGCTGAAGGTATAGGTTGAATACCTATTAGCATATTCAAGCCGGGGTTCAACTTGGATCATCTTGATCCGCGTGTTGTATGACACCACGAATTTATTCTTCGCTCTTTTTCTCGAACAATGTAGAAGCACTATATCTGGATCAAACGGATGGAACAACACGAATTTCGCGCTGTTGATATCCTCAATTTGAATGGCTACAGTCGAAGAAGGTAAAGAAGGAAGCACAATTTCTTGCCTCATGATTGTATGTTAAGGCCACCATTTGTTGTCTTCTTGAAGCTCCCATATTTTCCAACACAGGAATGATTCCGATGGAGCTAATTCAATGCTCGCAAAGTACTGTCGTTCTTGAGAAACACCGCAATTGAAATTCCTTATACTAAATATACCCTTTTCGTTTTCCGGTGGCTCGATGATCAGTAACTCACGAGAATTTGTTTACGGATCATACGCTAGCAATGCTCCCCCGGTTGTCACTTCTTCCCACGATCCAACATCCGGTTCTTCCCACGAGAATTCGCGGGCGTCTTTTCCTTGGAAACTGAAACAGGCCGTTTCCTTTGCACTTTCAACTCATCCAATCTTCTGGTTTCGGAAGACAACAAACTTACATGGTGTTGTTTTTGGGGTCTGGAATCATACCATCCAAATAGTATTACGATTTTGTAACCCCTCAGAACACCAGATTCGACTTGTGTAATCAAACCCCAATTGGAATGGGCTTCGAATAAACCCCTCACAGCTGGAAGAACAAACCATTGCTTCGTTACAACGTTACATATGTAACATTCATCACATCCAATAGAATACCTATAACCTTCATCAGGTCTTTCGAGTAAAAGAAACCCTTTATCTGCTGATCTGATAAGTCTTCTTTGTTATGCCTGCCGATGGATCAAATCAAAGGCCCAAAAGATAAATCAAGACTCCAATTACGTTTAAAGATTATCAGCTTTGAGTCAAGTAATTTAGTAATTTTAGATTTGTTACAACTTTTCTGTTTTGACTAAGTCAGGAGTCAGTTAAGAGTCATGGTCCATTACGAGAGTAGTGGAAGTTGTGGTTCCTTCGTTTAAGCATTTGTTGGGTCTATTTATTTGTAATCTCCACTCTGCAATATGAAGAAGAAATTATTGAAACAAACTCTACTCTACATTTAATTTTCTGGACTTCAATCCCGACCCGATTAAGGATATTACATTGGTGCTTTCATTGAGAGGTATATGCCTCCAAGGAAAGAACTACCCATGGACGACATAGCCACCACTATTAAAGAGCAGATGGCGGAATTCAAAGCCGAAGTCAAAGCAGATATAGAAAAGAAAATGGAGGAACAAATCAACCGTAGCCAAGAAGCCAATATTCATAAGCTCACTGCCTTGATTCATGATCTTCAAAAAAACCAAAGTACAACAGCCACAACACCACCCACCCCAACAAACCAATACCAAATTGGATCATCCTACCATTCCACCATCCACATCCCTCAACCACAGCCACATCAACCTTTTTCAGTCAAACCTCCTAAAATTCATCTTCCTAGATTTGATGGATCTAATCCATTAGATTGGCATTTTCAAGCAGAGCAGTACTTCTCATATTACCAAATCACACCAGAACAAAGAATTCCCTTAGTCTCATTTTATGTCAATGGGGAAGCTCTCAGTTGGTACAAGTGGATGCATGCAAATGAGCAATTTACAAGTTGGGAAGCATTTACCAGGACTGTACAACTGCATTTTGGTCCTTCGACCTATGAGAATCATGAAGCTATACTCTTCAAACTCCGGCAAACGGGTTCCGTAACTGAGTATAAGGTAATTTTGAAAAGCTCAGTAATTGTGCAATAGATTGCCACCAATGTTTGCAGGATCGTAATCCTAGGCAGGATCAAAATGGGGTCATAGGATTAGGATCGGTAAGATAAAAAAAGTAGGATACTAAATTTTTTAAAAACTTTACACATTATAAACAATTACTAACAATAATTTTTAGATTTTTTTAAAGCTGTATAATGCATTCATTCTAATTTCTAACTAAAATATGGGCGGTAATTGTAATTTTTTATTTAATCAATAATATAACAGACAATGGAATAAGTAATGTTCCAGTTACAAATTACTAGTACTTAATAAGTTGTGTATGATTATTTTAGAGTGATTGAAAATTATGATTAAGATTAAGAAGAGAAAAATGTCGTGGACCAAATACAAAACATAAACTAAAGAAAGGCTTATGTCATCAATTGAGTCATTGACCAATTGACCATTCTTTTTCTCCCTCAAGGTCACAAGTCTGTTAGCAGAAGAGTTCCGGCGAGAGAACAAAACAGAGCATATAAACTACGAGATACTTTTCTCAATTCTGATGGAGTAATCCTCCTAAACAAATCTAAAGAACTCAATTTCTTTAACTTTATCACTCTTTTCATCTTCTTTTTAAAGCTTTTTTTTTCATGAATTGGAGTAAACCAAGCCCAATAAATTTTTTGGAGGCTGAATCGTGGTGGACTCAAATGATCCTACGCGATTTTTCGAGTTTTTCCAATCCCATATGATCTTGTTCCGATCCTACCGCAAAAGACGAGTTTAATCGGTCCGATATCGGTTTAGTGACCTAGGATCGTACGATTCTACGATCCTAGATCGCGAGTTTGCAAACACTGATTGCCACACCATGCTCTTCTCAATTGTTTCCTTTTCTGGTCTAAAAATCGAAATTCAACAAGAGTTAGCAATCCAAAAGCCAATTACCTTATCACAAGCCATTGGTCTCACCAAACTGGTAGAAGCCAAAATAAATGATCACCGAACCCAAACCTGCTTTGTCTCTCGATAGTTAGTAATTCCTGCCCTCACAAAGCCATTACACATCTCACCACTCCTACTCCATTACTGTCGGCACCTCCCAAACCAAGGCCTTCACTTCCTGTATGTCGTTTGAGTTCTTCAGAAAAGCAGCACCGACGTTCTCAAGGGCTTTGTTTTAACTGTGATGAGAAATTTAGCCCAGGACACCGTTGTAAACCACTAGTTTCTCACTCTTCTAGCCAACGATATTGATGACCCTGTCACTTCAATATTTGAACCTCCTGATAACTTCTCTGAAACGCAATACATTAGTCACCTAGAGCCTGAAGAACCTCCAGCCCCATCTGATAGATTAACAAAATCTGCTTCAACAAATACCCACCTATTCATTTATCCATGGCTGCTTATCTTGGACTCAACACCACTAGAACTTTGCGCCTGCAAGGTAAAATTCAAGGTCAGACTGTTTCCATCCTTATTGATTGTGGCAGTACACATAACATAATTCAACCTCGTGTTGCCAATTTCCTAAATTTTGCCAATATTGTCCATACCTCAATTTTCCGTAATGGTGGGAAATGGAGATCATCTACAATGCCAACGTCAGTGTACAGGAGTAATGCTAACTATCGAAAATCACAATTTCTCTGTTCTTTTCTTGGTGCTACCTATTGAAGGTGCGGAATTTGTTCTTGGTGTTCAGTGGTTGAGCTTGCTGGGTCCGATTATGGCTGATTCCTCTATCCCTGCTATGGGATTTTATCATCAAGGGTCTTGGGTTCAATTCACTGGTACAACATCCATTGAGGAAGCATCCCCCACACAGGTTTCCCGACTTCTTCAAACAGGTTCGATACAATCATTATATGCTTTATCATATAATCCACACCCCCAGCACCTACTCTGTCAAATTCCAATTCTGTGACCCAGATCTCCATTCCCTCTTACATTAGTTTGCCCACCTCTTTGAAACCACTTACATCCCTACCCCCCTCGAGATCACATGATCACCAGATTCACCTCCAAAACAATAGCCAAGCAGTAAATATGAAACCATATCGTTACCCTCATTACGAAAAAGAAATCATGGCCCAATTAACATATGATATGCTTCGAGAGGGAATTATCAAGCCAAGCACAAGCCCATATTCCTCTCCTATTTTGCTGGTGCGGAAAAAAGATGGAACTTGGCACTTTTGTGTGGATTACAGAGCCCTTAATGCTATCACAATTTGGGACCAGTTCCCTATTCCCACTGTTGATGAATTGTTGGACGAATTATATGGAACCATCAGCTTCTCAAAGATTGATCTGCGCTCGGGATATCATTTGATCCGAGTAGTGCCAGAAGATACCCATAAAACTACTTTTCGGACTTGTGATGGGCTCTATGAG